TTAAAAACAGAACGGTACTATCACAGGAACGAAAACAAGATCAACTCTCTAGCTGATAAAAGCTGTGTCCCAAGGAGGGACAGGTAACAGTTTGGACACTACTACACACGCACACTGGGCTGAACGATTCAGTAGCTAGATGGCGCGTGGTGGGTGGCGGCAGCCAGCGGGAGTTTACAGACAAGGGAAGGAGGCCAAAATGATCCATTTCCTACGGATTAGAGCTGGAGACACCAGTAAGAACTCATATGCAGCTTAATATACTTACAGACGATTGCACACAGAAATGTTCATATATGTGCATATATACACGGGTCAGTACACACACATGTATTCCTTTGCTCTGCCAGATGAGAGGGCCTAAAAGAAAAACCACTGTGCAAACCTACCGTCCAGATCTTGGTTTCTAATCCCATTCCCTAATAAAAGGAGCTGGTGGTCCTTTGAGAAATGGCTGATTCTAGACGGGGCACTGCAAGATTAACCTGGAGCATCTCGTCATGCCCAAAGTAAGGAAGCGTTTAAAACACGCCCCTGTGGATAGGGATACGTCAAAGAAACCAACTGAAAAAGCTCCCAGTGGCCCCAAAGCTGGGACAATTTGAACAATAAAGTAAGTGAAGTAGAAGCGAATTATGTCCCGAAGTGTCAGGAAACATCCAAGAGTCCACACGGATATGAAAAAGGGTTGAATAAATTAATGGGAGAGAAGAGAGAAAGTATTCCAAATAAGTTACAGGGATCCGTCACCCTGAAGGAGAGCAGGACACACGCCCTTCGAATGTGAGAGGCACGCAGACGTCCTTCCCCAGAGCACAGCGGGACAGGGTGGGCGGACAGAGTCACTGTCCAGTGGGGAGGTGGGGCGAACATCACATCAGCCACTTAGTCAGCATCAACAGTCATAAACCAAGTGGACAGCATGTCCCCTTAATATACAATATGACGACAGTGGCACTTTACAGCAGACAAATTCCAACAGAGGGAATTCCACTACATATCTGACCAGTACTACTCTCGCAAACGGTCAAGGTCGTCAAACACGAGGAAAGTCTAAGGAAACTGCACAGCCAAGAGGAGCCTAATGAGACGAGGTCAACTAAATATAATGTGAGACCCTGGACCCAAAAAAGGATATTAACGGAAACTAAGAAAATCTGAATAAAGTATAGACTTTAGCTAATAATAATGTATCAGTATTGATTTTCTAATTGAAATGAATGTACCAAACTAAGGTAAGATGTTAATAATCAGGGCAACAAGTATAAAGGATATTGGAACTCTCTGTCTTATCTTCATAATCGTTCTCTAAATCTAAAATTACTCTAAAAATAAAATTTAAAAACAAATTTTTTTAAATAAGATCACCAGATCATAATAGCTAAGAAAGAAAACCCAGAACACATGTATACACGAGAGGGGCTAATACACATTTATGTAAAAAGGCTGGGCTATTGAGTGAGTGATTTGGGGACTACTGGCTCTTCACATGGGAAATATGTTAAGATTTGATTACTGTCTCATTCCACATGCAAACTACTTGGACTGAAATTCCAAATGTGTAAAATCAGATTTTTAAAATCATTATTATTTTTAGGCCACGCCATGCGGCATGCGGGATCTTAGTTCCCCGACCAGGGATTGAACCTGCGCCCTCTACATTGGGAGCACGGAGTCTCAACCACTGGACCGCCAGGGAAGTCCCAAAATTTTTTTAACTATTAAAAGAAGATCTTAGAGACTATCTTCTCAATCCTGCCTAAGCACAAGGAAAAAAGCATTCACCAAACAGAAAATACTGATTTGTCCATATAAAAGTTTTCAACTTCTATTTTAAAAATGATACTATTTAAGGAAGAAAAAAAGGACAAATGACCAGAAGAAATGGTGTTCAACCTAAAATGACCCAAAGGGTTAATACACAAAATACAAATAAATAGGGCTTCCCTGGTGGCGCAGTGGTTGAGAGTCCGCCTGCCGATGCAGGGGACACAGGTTCGTGCCCCGGTCTGGGAAGATCCCACATGCCGCGGAGCGGCTGGGCCCGTGAGCCATGGCCGCTGGGCCTGCGCATCCGGAGCCTGTGCTCCACGACGGGAGAGGCCACAGCAGTGAGAGGTCCTTGTATCGCAAAAAAAAAAAAAAAACACCAACAACAAAAAATACAAATAAATACTGCAAATAAATAAGAAAATGATAAACCAATAGAATGGGAAAAGGATAAGAACAAATCACAGAGGAATAATGGCCATTAAACAAAGGGAAATGTGCTCAATGTTGGTAGCAATGCACATTTCACACTTAAGATACCGTATTTTCCCCATCAGGTTGGTAAAAATTATAAGGACATAATATCGAATATTGCCAAGAACATGGGGGAAACGATTCTTAAGGTACTGTCCGTGGATTGTTAAGTGGTTTAACACCTCTGGAGGACAATTTGACAACATCCATTAAATGTGTACATCTTTTCTCCTAAAATATTACAAAAGGAACAAAACCAGGGCTTTCATTAAGGGTAGTCTGGTTCACTACACAATGTACTGTGACACAATGGAAAACTATGCATTAGTTGAAGAGAATCTGGAGTATCTATGTTTATATATACAGATGTATGCACACACACACATCATAGAAACACCTCTTCGAGACATTACTTCGTGTAGAAAGAAAGTCACAGAACGATCCATAGAGTATGACAGAATCTGTGATTAAAAAATAAGAAAAAGGACAAAACAATATACTTATGTACACACACATTTACTTACAAAGGCACATAAGTGTTTAATGTACAGAAAATTCTTGCAGGATACTCATCAAACAGAAAGAAAAGGAGACTGGGGGAAGGGGAAGAGCGGGTAGGAAGGGTTTCTTTCCTTTTTTTATCTGTGTAGTTTTATGTATTACTTGTGTAACCAACTGCTCTCAGAGGAAGAGGAAGTGGTGGAAGTTTACACAGCAAGCACTTCCCCACGTGAGCACCACGCGTGCACTGGGGCCACTGTGAGTTGCACCCGCTCCCACTGCGTGAGAACCGCCCTTCAGCTATGCTAACGCTGTTCCCCTGGAGACCATCGCTAAGCAACGCTGCTGACAGTAACAATGACCCTTGACTGATCGATGGCATCTGGTCTACAAGGAAGGACAAGGGAACGTGGCATCTGATGGGTGCCCACACCCTGGGGTCCCCCTAAATGCTGTGACTCTTAAAACAATCTCCTCTGCCCAACTCAAACCTTATTGGGACACACTGGTCAAAAACTATCGCAAAGCCGGGAGTGAGTCGCACCAGTATTTTAGATTTGCACCAAGCGGGCCAGCTAAGCGTGCTAGAGTCCTTTTTTTTTTTTCCCCCGGTACGCGAGCCTCTCACTGCTGTGGCCTCTCCCGTTGCGGAGCACAGGCTCCGGACGCGCAGGCTCAGCGGCCATGGCCCACGGGCCCAACCGCTCCGCAGCATGTGGGATCTTCGCAGACCGGGGCACGAACCCGTGTCCCCTGCATCGGCAGGCGGACTCTCAACCACTGCGCCACCAGGGAAGCCCTACAGTCCTTTTTCCGTTCTAAATAGCCTATGGTATTTTTCACGACTGACGCCTAAACTGCCACTTTAATCATTCCCCATGTTAGGTGTAATCAACAATATTTTGCATTCAATTAAACTAAGGCATTTTTTGGTGAACGGCAAGGCAGAAAACTTATTTACTACATAAACTGTAGTAAATTTATGGTTCAAATAAATTTTATCTATAATTTCCCAAACCACGACAGAAACTTAAATCATTCATTTTATATAGTGGAACACAATGTGGGCCTATATAAAAACTGAAAAGAAAAAAAAAATTTTGTCCAAAGGAGCTGCTTCCAAGTTCATGTCTTGAGAAAAAAAGATTTTTATGTAATTTAAAAATCAAAATCACTTCCTAAGAAAAACTAATCCTCAGTGTAAATCACAGTAGAAAAACATCATTCTTGATGGATAAAGACAAGAAAAAACTTGCCAAAGAGTAAGTATGGCTCTGCTTGAAACAGCAAAGAACGGTTCGGGCAAATCGTGCACGTGACGAGGCCAAGGTCACCTAACACAACACAGAATCACATTTGTGATTCAGCTCTTTAAAAACTAGGGTGCCAGTGGCTGTCCAGGACAAGACATATCTCAGCTGGTTACAGAAGGGTGTTAATGCGACCAACTCAGTGTGGTCAGTGCAACAGAGCCCATCCCTTCAGCCACACTCTGTGCCACCCCCTCTTCTGAGTGGTCTTAAAAATGCAAGCTACAGCTCCCCAACCCCACTCGCATTCTGTTTTAATAATTCTGAGGAGGGTCCAAGAATCTACATTTTTCTAAAGTGCTGATTCCGGGGAACCCCAGGAAAGGGCTTCAAAGGGGCACTGACCACCCCCATCCCACCTTCTAAATCAGGTCAGAAAGAGGGGATTTCACACATACATACATGCATGAGTTTTTTCCCCTTTCTTGTAAAGCTTTAAGTATCACTAAGTCTTACAACTGATAACAATGTGCTTGTTTTAATTGAGTTCTTTAATGACATATATCAACTTCAGAACAGTTTTCACCTCTGGACAGAAAGAAAGAAAATAGAAAAATGGGGGGAAAAAATGAGAGGTCTGAGCAACTACGGCCAAAAACATTCATCGCTATGACTAAAGTAGAGTGACAGGTAATATGAGTACCATGATACTTTCCACACTTTTCTGTATCTTTAAAATACTTAATTTTTTAAAAAAGAAATGTAAATGTACGGCATTATTCCAAAATGCAAAACAGCACAAGAGCATTAGCAGGAGCCCTCAGTACCCGAGAAAGCGGTCCCGCCCTCGCCCTCCAGTAACGTTTATCCTGAGGCCATGATGGCCCTCACTTTGGTTTCAGAAAGACAAGCCTGTCTGCAGTCGCTTAAAGCAATGCTGGTTTTCACTGTGAACTGGATGATTTGTAAGGATGGGAGGAAAAGTGCCCCTCACGGGCTCCATACCTGTGTCGCTCCCCGAGCCTGCGGACAGCGCGGGCATGATGCAGGATGCAGGATGTGGGATGCGGGATGCAGGATGCAGGCTGAGCTGGGCCCTGAACTGCCAACACGCTCCGTTCAAAGGCGGCAGGGATGCCAACCCTGAGGCCTGCAGCCACGCTGTCTACCCAGATCTATGTCTCCTGCAGTCCGTTTCTACAAAGAAAAGGAACACATTAAAAATAGAAGAGGCAAGATTACTAAATAGCAACTTTCTGTAACTAATTCAAAATGCTGATTCCAACACATTATTTAGGGAGATCACAATCTTCACAATTTCTTCTACAGACCACAGACAAATATGAAATGGGAGAGTTTTTTATTTCGACGTGGGATTTCTAATTAAAAACATGAAAGTTCTTTGTGAATGTGTCAAGGTTTCCTTAAAGATTTTTACAGTTGGTTTGAGAACCACTGACTGCATAGATGGAGAACTTAAGGAAGCTTTTGTAAGCCAACGTCATTCTAAAATTCCTCCCTTCTGTTAGAATTCACAACTGTATTCCTAAACGTAGAGCAGAGATTCTCTAAATTGTCAACAACTTATAACTAATTGTAATTTTTTTAAGTAACTCATCCTAATACGACAACTGCAAAGTTCTCTAACGAGATTACAAACAACCTTGAAAGAATACTAGAATTGAAGCAAGATATTATTATAGATTTACAGGACGGCTGATAATCTACACTAAACCTAACAATCCAAGCTAATGTATGAAAATAAATTGTTTTAGTAAGAACTCAGCTTTGATGTATCTTGGAAAATATCAATTTTTTAAGTAACTATTTTAAGTAACGTTTATCCCAAAATAAGCAGTAAAGGCACTATTGTACAGTAACTAAAAGCAAGGGCTCTAGTGTTTGCTTAATCTCTAATCCTGCTAGCTCTGTGATCTTGGAAAAGTTATTTAATCTTATTAAGCCTTAATTTCCTTATATGCAAATGAAGAGAACAACAATTTAGAACTGCTGGATAATCCAATGAACACCCTTCAAACAATGAATGCTAACTATTACGACTGGTTTTTTTTTAATTCAGGTAATGAGATTATAAAATGAAAACATAAAAGTAGCAAGATTAAAATTTACATTGGCCTACACCTAGGAGGACGCCATGTGGTTTAAATTTGGACCACGGCTGCCTAATAACGGAAAATACACCGCATTTACATTTTTCAGAAATCAGAAGAACCACACAACATGTTTAAATTCACTTTTTAATGCATTTTTCCCAGTTCTCTATAAAGCAAGTTCGGTGATTTAAAAGCATATTTTAACATATATTAACAAGAAAAACAGATACTGTAAACATTTGAAAAACTGGCTCACTTCAATCCCTAAAGCCTTTAAATTGCTGATTCATATTACAGAATAAAGAAAATGAGCTTGCCAAATTCCTCATGAAAAAATTCAAACTATGAGATTCTATTAAAGCCTTCTAAATTAGCTTTTTAATTATCAAAGTAAACGTTAGCATAAAAATATTCACCATCAAATAGACTATCTTGGACCAGGCAACCCGGTGCAATGTCTTGAGTTTTGTTTTACATTACAAAGGTTGACGTAGTTAAAATACACATACAAATTCATAGAGATCCTCTGTGTTAATTAAAAATATGAAGGCAGTTATTTTAAATACCAAGTGAAAATATAAATCACTAAGCTAAAAATAAGACAGAAAAAGGTAAAGCAAGGCTTCATTAGTGCCCGTCTCTGACGCTGTTTTCCCTAATAATTCTAAAAGGCAACTCTGCTTTGCTTTCATAAGTTATCCTAACAATCAGGATTAAGATTCAACTACATAAAGTGCTCCTCGACTCAAACGCAAAGAAAATAAAAAACAGACCATACATAATTTAAAAAACGCATTCAATTAGTAAACTTTTGTTCTGCTGCTGAGAAAAAAGGGAAAAGCGGTTATAAAACTTGTAAAGTATATGCACACGTATTTCTACCATTAGGGCATAAGGCATATACGTAGGTATGTAGATAGGTATTTATTATAGTGTGTATGTATGTAATTTAAGCTCTTTAGGCCATAAATCGTAATTTGTACGGTACAGATTACCTAACTACAGAAATACACACACTATAGAATCTATACCATGCAAACTACAACTTTCTTCAAGCCTTAACGAACTTACAATGCTTCAATTTCATAAACCACATACAACATATAAGCCAATTTATGCTTAAAACAAACATCCTATCAATACTAAAACCACCTTACATTTCACATCAAAATATCCTCCTGAGCTGACGCTGCAGCTTTCCACGTCAGCCACATACAAAAGATTTTATCACAGTATTTCTCATCTTGTATTTCACAATAAACACTCAAGGTTAAGTTTTTTCCAAAGTTATATTATTTAAGAAATATATGCTACAAGATAATTATCTTCTCAGAACATACACAAGTATATTAATTTAAAAAAATGGTTTGATAAAATCCCAACCAGGAAAATGGTTAATATTCTGTGGAACGAAGCAGAGTTGCTGGGTTTAACTTTCAAACTGAGCTAAATTTCTGTAGTAATCATGTTATTTTCTTTGGCTAAACTTATTTAAAATGCTTTGGAATTTGTCAGAATCCAGCCATGATTATTACTGACTGTTGTATGGAATCGATTTACTGCAACACAAAAATACCAGCTGTTACAGTACGTCCTGAGAGGGATTACCGAATATTCTTAAATTGAAGTTCAATCCATCTTTCCATAAAAAAGAGAGTGACCCAAACGCCAGGAACGAAAGTGCAGTGTCAAGTGCACCTGAAGCATTTACGATCCCCAACAGAACCATTACGACCCGACTTTAAAAGGGCTTATTTTTGAAATTTCATTATTCCAGTCATACCGTGCTTCTATATATCACACTGTATCAGGTTCTTCTGGCATCCGTCATATGGAAACAGTGAACTATGCGAAGGTCTAGAACCTACAATGTTCAGTTTCTACCCGCCCTGGGCAACCCTTAGGACTCCCGGGGCACTCATGACATCTAGTGGTCAACCACAGAAGTGCAAGTGTCTGTAGCAGAAAGTTTTTTGAGTTTTCCCGAAAAAAAAAGTCTTAATTGCACCCAGTGAAACAACCATCTGCAAAAACTTTTATTAATGTGTGCGCACTCACACACACACACACACACACACACACACACACACACACACACACACACACACACACTCCTCCTGTGTATCTCCTCTATCAATACTTCACTTCTGACAGCAGATGTGGTTTTCCACACCCCAGGCAGAAATGTGACACCAGCCGGGTGACCTACAATTAAACTCAGTTCTGACACTGTCTACCTGGAGATAGGGCCAGATACCACAAGGTAAGCGCTCAGCCCCACAAGACTGGCCCCCTTCTGATGTCACCTGCAAACCCAGGTTGTCACCTGTGCTTCTCATCGACTGACTACAATCAGAACTTCCCCCCAGCTCCCTCAGGTTCACTGAATTTGCCCGAGGGGCTCACAGAACTCAGGAAAACATTTACTTTTTAGGTTACTGGTTAACTGTAAAAGGAAATGATGAGGGACAGCCAGACAGAAGGGTTGCACAGGGCGAGGTGGAGCTCCCACCCCTTCCCTGGGAGCCGCCCTCCCCCAGATCTCCACGTGTCCGCAGCCTGGAAGCTCTCCAGACCGGAGGCTTCGTCACACAGGCATGGTTGATTAAATCACTGGCCCACTGGCGCCTGAACTCAACCTCCAGACCCTCTCCCCTCCCTGAAGGTTGTGGGGTGGGACTGAACGCTCCAACCCGCCAATCAAGGTTGGCTGCCCTGGCCACCAGCCCCGTCCATAAGGGCTTCCCAAAGGTCACCTCGTTAACATAAAGGCATGGCTGAAAGTAGTTAGGAAAAACGGAAGACACCTTTGTCACTCTTATCACTTAGGAAATTCCAAGGGTTTTAGAAGCAGAAAGGGTTACACAGAACACCAACTATATATTTATTATATAAATCACAATATTTCACACACACGCACGAGGTTAACACAGATGAATGAGAAATCAGGTACTGGACCTAATTTTCCAAACTCACGCCCTCTCTATTTGGAAGAGTATTCAAGCATATGAAAACTTTTAATTAACTGTCATCATAAATAAACTAATAATCACGGTAAGAGCCCATCATTTCAAGAGACAGTAACTGTGCCCAGTAACCCAACTGTGGATTACTTCATGAGTTACAAATACTCTCAACTTACACTTTCAAAACCTAATAGAGCAATGACACACACAAAAAGGGTAAACCCTTTTTTAACAAATCTGACATAAAACAAAAAAAACTCTACCTGAAAGATGCATGAGTTGTATTAGCCAATGGAAGCAGCAAATCTTCATAAATTATAATTGTTAGAAAATACAGGAAGCAGTGCAGGTAGGTGGCATCAATCTGCTTACAGAAAATGGTATTGAAACCTTTTATACCATCAGTTCTCGAAGTTTGGTCTGCAGACACCAGTGGTCTCTGAGATCCTTTCAGAGGTGCCACTGAAGTCAAACTATTTTCATAAAACCATCAAGATGGTATCTGCCTTTTGCAATGTGTGGACATTTGCACCAATGATGAAAAGTACTGGTGGACAAAACCATGGGTACCTTAGCAAAAATCAAGATAACAGTACCAAATGGAAACTATTCGTCCTAGTTAATTCTTCACTACCAAGCAGTCTCATTAAAAAAAAAAAAAAAAAAAAAAGACGGAAGGGCATTGACTTTAGAATGTCCTTAATGAAGTAGTAAAACTAATAATAACTGACTCTTGAGGCATTGCTAATGATAAAGCATAAACACTCGAGCAAAAAACCAGAATTTTATAAAACCTGTGTCCACTGGAGGTGGCCCTCGCTCTGCAACGCACCGTGTTAACCGAAATGCAAGCATCCTGAAGCCAGCTCCCGCGCTGCGCAGGTCCACCAGCTCCCCAAAACCCACTGGCTCTTCCAAGATCAGTGGTGATATGAGCAAATGTGATTTTTTTTATATTGTGTCAACCTGTGGATAGTGAACCAATATTTTTGAAATTATCAATGCATAATATTTTAAAAAATAATGTGTGAATAAAAGATCCAGTCAAAACGCAGGACAGACCAACAGATTGAAAGTTCCAATATGATACGCCTGTTGATGTATTTTCAGATTCCAC